CATATCTCCAGACTCCCTGTGCGGTGTTCTAACCACTTAAGCTTGATCTGACTCCTACTCATGTCAGTAGAAAAACGGCCATCTGTTTTAACTGGAGTTAGATTTACCCTCTAAGCATGGACTCAGTGCAAACCCGGAAACTTTTTAAAGCTATAGAATACTTGTGATTGAGGCTATAAAAGGTCTTGCATTAGTTCAGTTCCTGAAAACCAGCTAATTAGTGCTATTTTCTGTAACAGAGCTAAAACAAGCTTTTATACACACACGCGTGTGCATGTGCATATACACACACACACCATTAAGTCAATTAAAATGTCTTTTGATGTGCCAAACCGATTTAATGAGTTGCAGTTGCATTAATGCTGATAGCATGTAGTTCTGAATTCACTAAAAAGCCTTCTTAATTGGTAAGCTATGAAACCATCAAGGTTTCCTCCTGGAATATCAAAAGAGCACAGAGTAAGGTTTGCACTGAAATGAGATCAGAATCTTCGTGATCCCCTCTTCTTTCTTTGAAAATTAAAAAAGGAACACTTTTAAGTGATGGCAACCTCATATCACTCCATTTGGGAGTTTTGAACTCCTTATTAATTTATAATTATCCTGTTGGGATCTATGTGGTATATTAATCATAACCTTTGGAGCTCAGTTCATAAAAGTATTTGGTAGATGTTAGCTTTTCACAGAAGCTGTGAGAGTTTAGAACATAAAATAAGTTCCTAGCTTTTGAAATCCTCAAAGATTAGTCCCCAGTGGGCAGTCAACAACCTCTTTGAGCAACACCCATATTTAAAGAAACTTAGAGTAAAAGAGGGAGAAAATTATGGACATACAGATCTGCTTTAGAACACAGGTTATGGTAATTTTTTTCCATGGCAACCATATAGTGAAGCTGTAATAGCACAGTAAAGTCATAAATATCTATACAGGTATTTCCATTTAGAAGCTATGTTAAGAGAACACTATGGACTCAGTTTTGAGCAATCAAAAGCCACTGTGTGGTTTTCCAGCGTGGAACATCACTCTGCTTTTTTCAGCCTGGCCCTGATCTTGCACCAGACTCTGAAACAGACTCCGACCCAGGTGTGGACTCTGTTGTGGATCAGAGCCTTAGTATAGAAGATGTAGGTGTAAGTGGCAGAAGCCCTTTTAGCTTGGCATACCCATAGTAGCAGAATACTAGAGGACAATACATGTGTATACAAGTATATAGATTTTTACATTGTAAAGTAAGCGTTGTATTATTACATTGTATTATTTGAAAAACATCATGGCTAGGGACAGAAATTACACATAACCTATTTTAAGTGATCAGAAACTGGTTTAACCCTGTAACAGAACATCAGTTCAGTGCACATAAACCAGCTTCAAAATGGCTGAAACTGGTTTAAGATGAACCTGGTTGAATGTAGAATCAGACTTAACTGATTTGGGTCAAACTAATTTATTAAACTTCTGTCCCAGACCCCTTCCTGGTTTAAATTAAATCAAAGTCCCCAGGCATCCCAGCATGCTTTTCAGCCTGGGGCTCAGCTGTCTGCTTCAGAGAGCAGGGCTGGCTCTGCCCCTCTCCTCCCTAGTCAGAGCCATGGCTGGCTGAGAAAGAGGTGGAGACTGCAGGCACAGCAGTGTCTGCCTGGCTTCCCCCTGCTCCACCTTTCCCTGTCTCACTGCTCAAGCAGGATTCCCAGCAGCACAGAGCCCAGCTGGCATTTAGTCATGCCACCTATGCTAGCTAATTCTCAGAGAGGTGTGTGTGTGTGTCTCCAATTTCACTGGAACAAAGGCAGACAGAACAGTGCCCACTTAAGGCTTTTTGGAACTAATCAGTCGGTCAGCTGATAATGTCCCTCCATTCGTTCTTACAAACGCCTTGGAAAACACTGTTTAAGAAGAGTTTGAACTTATGAGAGAGGCATTTGTTTTCTTGATGGGCTGATACGCTTTGTGTTCTGTGGGAGTGCACACAGATGTGAGGGAAGGAGTGGGGCTGGGACTGGGGCAGGTGCTGCACAGCTGGGTAAGGGCTCATGAGTGGCTCATCTGGGGGGTGCAGCTGCTGCTGCTATGTGCTCCCTGGGAGATACAGGGGGCATGTGTCCCCAGATCTGCACGGGCAAGGGCAGGCTGGGCCTGGGGCTGCACCAGGCTCTTTCTGGTTGGGGGCTGGGCTGGGTTGAGCTGGGGTGGGCAGCAGCAGTGCTGGAGAAGCTGTGTGCTGGCGGGACTGCACTCTTCCGCCCTCAAGGGTGGGAGCAAGGTGCAATAGGGTATTTGGGGCTGTGTATACACTTTTTTATAGTAGGTGTTTGACTTTTAGTGTAAGATTTGGTTTTTTTCTGGTAACAGGATGGCAGTCCATTCCCCCCACCCCAAGAAGTATTTCTGGGTGGCAAGGGGAAGGACTTTGAGTGGCAATGGTCAGGGGTTAAAAGGTGGGACTTCTGGTCCCAAGATAGTAACAAGGGGGTGGGGCTACATCCCTTGACAACTCATCAAAACTCGTTAAGCAGCCCTCCACCCAAAATCATTGCCTGCCCCTGACCTAGCCTATATTGTGCTGTATACTCACAAAGAAACAAGCTTTGATGTTTCTTAATTTGTGAATGCTGAATCAGGTAAAATATATTAACATTTATTTTTGAATGGCATTTCCTAAATTACTTGAAAAGAAAGACAGATTTTTAATTTAAAATTTCACTAAGACTTTGAAGTGAGAATGGTGAAGTACATGTAAATGGAATTATTTAGCTGAATGTCACAAAATACCCTTTGCAGCACAGCTGAGAACATCTGCAGTGCTTCTCCTGTGAACCTGAGAAGCTGCAAATAGCTCTCCTTAACCCATTCACATAATATAGTTTCAGAAAGGCAGCACCTCTGAGCACCTTACACAATGGGTAGAAGCCCTGTATAGCTACTTTGCACCACCCACGATATACAGGGCTGAATGAAGGGGTCTTTTGCAATCTCAGGATCATGCATACCTTTTCTTTGTGTCATAAGGTTACCAAAGTACAGAATCTTTCTGATACGTGCACTGTATCCACTGAACAAAAAACTTAGGCAGCATGTACTATGCAATATGCACAGCAGGCAACTTTCAAGGAGCTACAGCTCAGTTAGATCAAAATAATATTTCACTAGAGCAGTGTAAAGAACTTTTACTTAGTGAGGGCTATTTCTATGCCAAGTTTCAGTTCTACCCACATCAATCTTGGCTGCAGAGATGCATGAAAAAAAGTCTCCAGATCTTTTTCTTAATAATGAGAAGGTATAGATTTTACTTTCCTTATATGCAAAAGGAGCTGAATCAGTTTTGCTCAGTTTTTCAAAAGAAGTTCACCTTCAGAGAGAGATTATTTCAGATAAACATTTCAAAGAATTTAAAATAACTGAAGCAGGATGTTAGGATGAAAATTATTACAGAAGCTTAACTACCACTTCTGCTTTAAGAATGTTTTATGTGGTTTCAGCTGAGACAATAGTAATGAACCTTCTATGGCTAAAAAGTGTGTTTTCTTTTAGTTGTAACTGGGTTTTGCATGCATCTGTGTAACTAGTCAATCCAACATACTACTATAGAACAAACACTTTGTAAGGATTAGTTTCTGAATGAAATATATATGTGGAAATCAATAATATCCTCAAAGTCATTTACTTAAAAAACAAACCAACTCCTAATTTTTATTGAAAATAGCTCACTATTTGCTCTAAGCTCTGTTTAGTATGGAATTACTCTGTGTGTGTGGGGGGGGGGGGAGGGGGTTTTGTAATGGGACTCTCAGTTAAATTGCAGCTGGTAAATAAAACAGTTTATCTGATGAAGCAACTTTAATACCATTCTATTGTATTTGTTATTTAAATGAAAAATAACTATAACTTCAGTAAATATATTTATATTAGGATAAAATATCCCATAGATGTTGAAAGCTGTTAAGCCTGAAGTTAGCTTATTTGTATCATGTATCCTGGAGAATGTCACCATTTTTATGAGTTTTGTGACCTTATGATTTATATGGGTCTTAAGAAATAACTATGTGTTTAGAAGGGAGGAAAACAGTGGCCAATAAACATTCCCAGTAGCCTAAAAACAGGAACAGCTTGTTAGCTGAGGTCAGCCATATGACCTAGAGCACAGTGACAGAGCATTGTTACAGTTGAAGCATGGGCCAATTCAACCATGCAAAAAAATTCAGCCCCAATGATCCACCCCTCATAAAAAGGCCTTATATATATATATATATATATATATATAAAAAGGCATGCAATAATTAGGAACAGAAAGGGAAATACAGATAGTGGCTCAGATTGATCTTGAGTATAAATTCAGAGACATCAGGAAAAAACAACCCAAAACTTCAGGAATGGATATGGCCTAAACTATTTTAAAAGAAAACAGAAAAATAAAGTTAAATTCCTGCCAAACTTCACAGGTGTAACCTAAAGAATATTATACAGCTCCCTCCTGATATGAAGCAGCCACCTGTGAAAACAAGCAAATATACACACAAAGAGATGCCTAAACCAGCACCCCCTGATTTCAGTGACAACTGGATCAGGACCATATTGCATAAATATGTACCAGATCAAAACCATAAGTGAGTATTTCCCCTATGAAGGAACTGGGGGGTTGGGGTGGGGTGGGGGAGTGGGAATTTAGCCCCTCCATAAAACTTGCTGAGAATTATTCCCTTAAACCATGGAGAACTCTGCTCTGAACTACATCAGTCTCAGCTTTGGCCCCCTCACACTTCCTGACAGCAAGATTTTGGCAGGATTTACACTGCTTTCGAATCCCCACTGTCTTTGGAATCGTTTCAGTGGAGAATCTAAGGGCAGCATTAATATATTCCCAGGATTCTGGGGAAACAGCAGGTTTGCTGGACTTGAGGCTTTCGTTGGGTTCTGCTAAGTAGGGAGTGATACTGTGAAGGTATCACTGTCCCTTTCCACAGATCCTCAGCCTAGACATTCCACATGTGCATATCCTTCACTCAGGGAAGTGTTCAGGTTGACTTTCCCCAGTAATAATCATACTGACCAAAACAGGGATGCCAGTAAATACAGTGGGCCATATGGTCCCTGTCTCTTATGAAAGTGGTTATGGGGGCGAAAGGAAGTTCTCTTACTCCTTATTACTCTGTAATGGCAACAGTGATTATTGTACTCTGAAGATAAAAAGGATCACTTCTCTGCACTTTTAGTCTAGTTCAGGGTTGCTCAATCTTTTGGCTCTGTAGGTTGGATGAGTGGCATGAGGTCAGTCCATAAGTTGCATTGAGCCCCACATGCCAGGATCTGGCCCCACACTGCCTCCACCTGGCACCACATGCCTATTTTGAGCCCATATTGCCCAGCCCTACACACACAGATCAGGCCTACACTCTCCATGAGCCCCCCGACCCCTCCCTTGTTCCCCAGC